AACAAAGTCCCTGCCCCAACACTGACCTGTTTCCCTCGGTAGGTTTCCTGGGGTCTGAACGTCTCAGCCCTAGCCCAGGCCGGACGTCCCAGTGACATCATCACTACAAATCCCAGGATGGAGGCCCAGGATGCCAGTTTCCCATTACCCACTGGAAGAGAAGGACACAGGGAGAAAAGTCCAGACTTAATGCTCCCTGAGGCCACAGCCTAGAGCTGAAGGCATCCTCTGCAATGTCCAATTCCAAAAGAAATCCACACTAACCATTAATAATGGTAACATTTACTGGGGCTTACTATGTGCCAGCAAACTAATGAACTCTGGAACCCCAACAAAACAGAACCTCATGAGGTGTCATAATTATCCTCATTTTACTGGTGGGGAAACTGAGTCAAGAGCAGTCACTTGCCCAAGGTCACTTATGATGGTTCTGTGGTCCATGTGTGAGTGATAGAGGGGTGATAACTTCTTAAGATATTATTAATCCTGGCCTTGTAAACTAGCCTCAAAATTATTCCTTGCTACAAAAAACAAAATAGGCGTGGGCAGCAGTGCCTCACAGTCTGTAATCCCAGCACTTTGAGAGGTCGAGGCAGGCATTGATAGTGTCGGAGTCGACCGAGTCTGGCCAACATGGGAAACCCTGTCTCTCACTAAAAATACAAAAATTAGCTGGGTGTGGGGTGTGTGCTGTCCGTCCCAGCTCACTTGGAAGGCTGAGGCAGGAGATCTTTAACCTGGCAGGGCAGAGGTTGCAGTGAGCCGAGATCATGCCACTGCACTCCAGCCTGGGTGAAGAGAAAGACTCCGCCTAAGAAAAAAAAAAAAGAAAAAGAAAAGAAGAAAAAAAAACAAAACAAAACAACACAACAAAGAAACAAAGCAAACCCTACTCCCACCTCCCTGACACTGGTCTAAAGGTAGAGTGCGAGAGCACTTAGTACATTAGTCCCATAGGGAATGGGGTTCTTATATCTCCAGAGCAGCAACGCATTAAATGCAACCACTGAGGGGAAACGGCAATTCAGAGAAGCCAGCCTCCCAGCCTCCGGCCTCTCATCTTTCTATGGCGTAACTGTACCTTCTCCCAAGAACCTCTAGGAGGCATCCAGCCCAGCCACACTTGGAGGCCTGGGTGAGGGTGTGCGCGCCCTGGAGATACTCACAATGGAGACGTCTTCACGTAGCTCACATTGCCACTGCCCTCGGGGCACTCAGGGCTGACACACTGGAAGCTTCCACCGGTGTTGATGCACGTGGTCCCCTGGGGGCACACCGGCTGCAGGCCCACACATTCATCTACATCTGAGATATGGGACATACAAGGGGTGAGCGTCTCCCTGACCTTCCCTCCATTGCAGACAGAACCACCTGAGATTCCCTGCAGGCCCGGTAACGTGGTGCTCCCTGCTCCTGGCACTTGTTGTTGTTTTGTTTTGTTTTGTTTTTCTTTCTTTTCTTTTTCTTTTTTTTTTTTTTCTTAGGCGGAGTCTTTCTCTGTCACCCAGGCTGGAGTGCAGTGGCATGATCTCGGCTCACTGCAACCTCTGCCTGCCAGGTTCAAATGATTCTCCTGCCTCAGCCTCCCAAGTAGCTGGGACGACAGGCAACCACCACCACACCCAGCTAATTTTTGTATTTTTAGTAGAGACAGGGTTTCACCATGTTGGCCAGACTGGTCTCAAACTCCTGACCTCAGGTGATCTGCCTGCCTCGACCTCTCAAAGTGCTGGGATTACAGACTTGAGCCACTGCTCCCAGCCTATTTTGTTTTTTATAGAAGAATAATTTTGAGGCTAGTTTACAAGGCCAGATTAAATAATATCTTTAAGAACTTATCACCTCTCTATCACTCACACATGGACCACAGAACCATCATAAGTGACCTTGGGCAAGTGACTGCTCTTTGACTCAGTTTCCCCACCAGTAAAATGAGGATAATTATGACACCTCATGAGGTTACTGTTTGGGGTTCCATGAGTTCATTAGTTTGCCTGGCACATAGTAAGCCCCAGTAAATGTTACCATTATTAATGGTAGTGTGATTTCTCTTGGAATTGGACATTGCAGAGGATGCCTTCAGCCTAGCTGTGGCCTCAGGGAGCATTAAGGTCTGACTTTTCTCCCTGTCCTTCTCTTCCAGTGGTAATGGGAAACTGGCATCCTGGGCCTCCATCCTGGGATTTGTAGTGATGATGTCACTGGACGTCGGCCTGGGCTAGGGCTGAGACGCTTCAGACCCCAGGAAAGGCCATACGAGGAAACAGCAGTGGTTGGCTTCTATGGTACCACAAGCCTCTTTCTTCACATTAAAACTTTTTTTCCTGTCTTCTTCATCTCATTATCCTGATTGACTCTGATTATAATAGAACCATTTTTACTTTGCTTTGAGGGAGATTTTTGATTTAATGGGGAATTTTAAGGTGGCATGGAAATACAGATTGTTTGTTTTGGCCACTGAATGGACTCTCTCTTCAGTGGGATTATCAAGGAACTCCAGATCAGGGAAATCTCTGCTTTGGGAACTTCTATCTCCCTGCCAACTCCTCAAGGTCACCTATAGAAGCGAGCTACCTTCTATCTCCTAAGCATTTTGGTGGCCTAGTGACTCAGGGCACAGTGGCCAGCACACCTCTCATCCGCCCCTCCTGCTTCATCACTGCTGAGCCTTTACCCATCTAGAATGCTGGAACTGGAGCATCATAAAGATAGCAAGCTACCTTCCAAGGCCGAGCCAGCCCAGAGAGGAGCACGCCTTCCTCTACCTCCCCTCAAGGAGATACTACGTGGGAGGGAGACACAAAGGGAAGGAAATTGGCTAGTCTGGCTTTTTTTTTTTTTTTTTTTTTTTGGCAAAGATTGACATTCTTGAAGGAAAGGGGATGAGGACAACTGAACTCACAGTGAGCCCTGTGGAGAGAAGACAGACAGAGTGTGGGTTTGATCGGAAGCCTCTGCCGTCAATGGATTCCAGGAGCAAGGCCATTTGTCGCGCTTTCCAAATTTCTTAGGCATTTATTTTGATAAGTTTATAGCCATCATTTTTCTAAGAGACTTGGAGACACCAGCAAACTGCTAGAACTCAAACTCTTCAATTACTCAAAGAAGGAGCCATTTCAGTTAACTCAAGTGAATGAGAGACTTTTGGAATCTGCAGTGGGTCCTTCCCGGTTGACCATTTGGTAACTTGTAATCTGACCAAAACCTCTTGAGCTGCAACAGGCCTTGCCAGAGGGCTCAGGATGGGAAAGGAAGAAGGGGATGGGAAAAGAAGAGGTAATTTTACATTTCCCCTCTAAAGTAAATTTTAGCCAACTCATCATTCTGAAATGTCCCTATAAAGAATGAGTCAAACTAGACCAAAAGCCAGCCTACTCCTTCTTACATAGTTTCTCCAACAGGGGTAACACTGACCTGTCCACTTCAAACACAGATAAGGCCTGCCGTCCTCATTGGTTAGAGGAACACGTGAGACTTTGAGTGGGCTCTGCTGAGAAGGCAGGCAGCCCAGGAGCCAGGTATGCAGGCATTGCATTGTCAGTGTCTGCTCTCAGAGTTTACACATTCAGTTGCTTCCAAGGTTGAATCTCCTGCTCTGTGAATGCTCTCAGACCCCAAAGGCCAACCTTGGGCTGGGTCTATGTATGTTCTTCCAAAGCACTGATGATCAAAATTGAAGACACATTCAGAGGTTTGATTGGTTGAGATTAACTGGTGTGGTGGTTGGTGTATGTATGTTTTATTTTTATGTCTTTGTATGTAGTTCTACATAATGCAAATTGTGCTTACTGATGGACAAGACCTCATAACTGTGATTAATATCAATAAAGGGGATGTTGTGGATGACCCGTGTTGCATTCAGTACTTCTTAAAGCTGCTTCTTGGCAAGGATGATCATAAAAGAGCTAACTAAAGTTGGAACTAACACCTCTCTGACCCAACACTAGGAGAGGCGAAGGAAAGAGCTCAGATGGGAAGAGGCTAGTCAGATTACTGGTTGCAACAACAGCATCCAACATCAGCTTACTTAAACAGAAAAGGGAATGAATGGAAGGCTATTAGGGAACTCACAGGCTGTTCGGAGAATCGGGCTTGAAAAGGGGTTGGATCTAAGAGAGCCACAGGTCTGGGGCCATGACCCAGTCATGCCTGGAGAACAGCTTGGTTTAGATGCCACGGCCCCCAGAACTGGTCCCTAGATCCTGGACAACACCAATGAAACTGCTGTACCTTGATGCCACCACCACTGCCGCCACAAGAACAAACTCCACTGAGCTGGATTCTTTGTGTCCTGGCTCCACATTCGAAGTTCTAGATCAGAACATCCAGCTGCCAGGGCTTAGATCCTGTGCCCGTGAACTAGTTGATCTTGCCCCTTCCCAAGACTCACATAATAGTGGATTTTCCAAATTTGGGAATGAGTTCATATGGTGCAGAGCCAAAACAGAAAAAAAAAAAAAAAGGGTTTATTAAGTTCATTAAAGCCTTACCCCTTTGCTGTTTAATATCAACATATACTCCAATCTTCTAGCTTTACTTAAAGAAAAAACTCTTGCTTAAAATGTGTAGCTATTCCTCATACAATAAACAACTTTCATCCCTTTCCAACGGGGTTACCCCAATGTCTTTCAACTCCTGCACTCAGGGTCTCTGAGTAATGGATACCCCTCCTCCGTGGGTTAACAAGCCCATCGCATTATTCTGTATCTTTGAGCTGAAGTTACATAACCATAACCGTGCACCCCATATACAATAAAACGAATAAAGAGAGAGGAAAGAGAGGCAATGAGTTAAAATATTTCAGGCTACACACAACACAGGAAGTACAAGCAGAGGCTACAGCTCTCATTTTCTGCCCTAGAGAAGAGACCCTGGATGATGTTTAGGTTTCCCTCTTCCAGTTTCCATTCCAAGTCCATGCTCTGTCTTCAGCCAGTACCTCAGATGAATGAGGTGTGACCTACTAGCCATGACCCTATTCCTCCTTCCTAAGGGCATAGAGACCAAGGTGGCCCTGCCTATATGCATGATGGCAACAGTCTTCCTTTAACTCCCACACTTGGAGGAGGAGGAGGACGCGGCTCCTGAGAGGACCACTTGAGTTTCATTCATAGCCGCCACCCTGGCCTGTCCCCCGTGGTACAGCAGCATTTTCCCAGGACTAGGCACTGCAACCAGCCTTGTCAACTCACTTTTTTTAACCTAATGGCATGTGAAATTCTAGGTGGCCAGCCCACGTGTCCAGACTATTGCTATATCACTCTTTTTCTGTTTAGCATCTATATTCACTCTAATTCCCCAAATTTCACCTTTTTAAAAAATGTCTGCTTTAATGGAACAATTACTCATACAAACACTTTATATCCCCTTTCCAAAGGGAGCCACCCCAGTGGCCAGCTGCCTCAATGGTGCAACCTTTCTTTCCTGGGTACTAAAATCGCTAATCGGTGGAAAAAAAAGTTGAAGAGTGAGAGCCATTAAGTAAGATGGAAGTTGCACCGTCCCTACTTCCCCTTCCTCCAGACCTGTTTAGTCTGGCTGTGGGAGAAATAGCACCATGTGATGTTCCCTACTTCAGAACAAACAGGCCTCTTAAAGGATGATAGTTCAGTCTCCTTAGGTATGATCGTCTCTCAGTCCTGAAATGAAATCTTCAATAAATCGTGTCACAGCTGAATACAGATGACTGCTTCTGGGTGACAGGATCCATTGACAAGGGTATCACCCATTGCTTTCCCTCTTTCACCGTAAAGTGAATTCTGTGATCAGAAGCAATTTTATAGAGCATGCCATGATGATCTACAGGCAAGAGGTCAATTCCAAAGTCAGACATGAGCCCATTTTAGTGAGAAGAAATCACTGCCCTTTCCGTAATGGAAGAGGTCCAAAGTCATCAGTCTGCAACGACGTGGCCCATGGTGTCCCTGGAGTCTGGTCAGTTGCGGGGTTCAGGGGTGGTCACTGATAAACCCTGTGCACACAGGGGCCGGGTCTGCCCTGATCATGGGAAGCCTAAGTGGTTGAATCCATCGCAGTTCCTGTGTTGCCAGCATGGACTCTTCTGCTCATGAATCAGTTGAGGAAGCAATGATGTGCCTGGAAAAAGAAATCATCACACATAAGCGGATGGCCTGGTTCAATTAATTATTATTAGCTTTTGCCATATGGGTATTTTGGATGATGGTTTACTCAAGAAACAAACATTTTCAAATTTGGCCCATTCTGAGAAGTGAAGCCTTGTATGACTTCCCGCGCCTCTCCTCTGTCATTAAACCTCCAGTCATTCTTCTTTCAAGTTTGTGACCAGTTGAACAGAACCCCCCATCTACACTGCTCAGAAGTTGGTGTAGCTTCTTGCATCAAACTTTCTTTCCTTCCAAGCAAAGTGGACAGAGTTATGTGCTTCAAATTCTCCTCCCCAGGAGGTTCTCCCTCTCACCTGCTATCCTCACTGAACTATAACATTACAGTCACCTATTTAGAAGGTAGGACCCCGGGCGCGGTGGCTCACGCCTGTAATCCCAGCACTTAGGGAGGCCGAAGTAGGTGGATCACAAGGTCAGGAGATAGAGACCATCCTGGCTAACACGGTGAAACCCCTCTCTATTAAAAATACAAAAAATTAGCTGGGCATGGTGGCATGCACCTGTAGTCCCAGCTACTTGGGACTGAGGCAGGAGAATTGCTGGAACCTGGGAGGCGGAGGTTGCAGTGAGCTGAGATCATGCCACTGCACTCTAGCCTCGGTGACAGAGTGAGACTCCATCTCAAAAAAAAAAAAAAAAAAAAAGAAGGTAGGTGACCATGTGGTGTGAAGCTATCTGTAAATGAGGCTCAGCGGTTTTTCCTCTCTTAGTCACTGGCTCTTGGGAAACCCCCCTTGAGGCCAGTGTTAGATTGATAAAGGGGTGAGGGGGAGGCACACAGGGAATGAACTACCTATGCATATAATGCACTTACGCCTTCAGTACCTGGTTATGGGCTATTCCCACATAAGCCATCTCCAGTTGGTAATGGGATTTTATGAGTGTGTCAGATGACTCAGTACATGATGGACAACTTGGGTTGCAAATGACATGTAATACATTAGGGATAATCACTTGGTGTCCAGTAGTCAGTCCAGTTCAGAAGTTACTCCCAGCTTCTCATGCCAACACAGTCGATCCCAAATCTCTGCAACGTATATCAACAACATCAGACCAGTGTAAAATGATATCCTTCCACCCATTTATTAAGCACCTTCAGTTAGGAAAATCTGAAATCACATTGGTTTCTAATCCTTATCCTCGCTGGTTTGAGCTTGCCATTTTCCTTCATTCTGAAGTGTTGAGATCTAACTGTCCATTCTGGAGACAGCCGAGGGTAATGCATGAGGAGAACTGGCTTGCTCTTGCAGTGAGACTGCAAAGGAGGCAAAGAAATGGTGGTGTCGTTACGAAGGGCTTCAGAAGACTGGAGAAGAGGGTTTCCGCTGACAAAGGAGGCTCTTTGAGGATTGGTGATTCAGAGGACTTCAGGTTTTCCAAATCCTCTCATTTGTCTCCATTTCAGTTCTCTGGGTCTTACCCCTTCCTGATCAATACTCCAAATTTCTTTAGCAAGGCCATGATTTTACCAGTGTAGAAATTTGGCCAGTCCTCTGGATCAAATTTTACCTTTGGTTTTCTCTTTTTGTTGTTGTTTTTTTCTTTTTGAGACAGAGTCTCGCTTTGTCACCCAGGATGGAGTGCAAGTGGCACGATCTCAGCTCGCTGCAACCTCCGCCTCTCAGGTTCAAGCAATTCTTGTGCCTCAGCCTCCCCAGTAGCTGGGACTACAGGCATGCGCCACTATACCTGGCTAACTTTTGTATTTTTAGTAGGGACGGACTTTTACCATGTTGGCCAGGCTGGTCTCAAAGTCCTAGACTCAAGTGATCTGCCTGCCTCTGCCTCCCAAAGTGCTAGAATTACAGGCATGAGCCACGGTGCCTGGCCGTTATGTTTTCTCAGTTATATGGACTCAAGAGGGAAGAGGATATTTCAGAACTGTCATAGGAAGCCCTTGGCTTGGTTTAAGTCTCTTCCTTCAGCTGATAACTTCGGACTTGAGCTGGCCAGTGTTTTTTTTTTTTTTTTTTTTTGAGAAGGAGTCATGCTCTGTTGCCCAGGCTGGAGTACAGTGGCGCGATCTCGGCTCACTGCAAGCTCCCGAGTTCACACCATTCTCCTGCCTGAGCCTATAATCCCAGCACTTTGGGAGGCCGACGTGGGCGGATCACAAGGTCAGGGGATCGAGACTATCCTGGCCAACATGGTGAAACCCCATCTCTACCAAAAATACAAAAGTTAGCTGGCATGGTGACGTGCACCTGTAATCCCAGCTACTCAGGAGGCTGAGGCAGGAGAATCACTTGAACCCAGGAGGTGGAGGTTGCAGTGAGCTGAGATTGTGCCACTGCACTCCAGCCTGGCGACAGAGTGAGACTCTGTCACAAAATAAAGGAAAAAAAAAAAACCACAGGACTGCCTGTTGGGCCTCATGGACTGTTTGATGGCAGAAACAACTCATTGGCTCTAGGCTTTGCTTTGAATGGACCCTTCTTCCAGGTGACTGGTATGATGAGAAGTAGAGAAGTGGGGGCAGGTGTCAGCGTCTGGATCTTCTCTGGGGTCCTAACAGAAGACATTTCCGTCGTGCTGTGCTGAAGACGGGACCGGAAGGCCTTTGCTCAGGTATTCACTCTACCAGACCGGGGGTTTTACACTCTCACCACTACCTTGAATCCCCGGTGAGGCAGATATTATTATCCTGTCTTTATCTGTGAGGACGGGAACGCAATGGCGGGGTGGGTTCTCGTTGGGC